CGCTAAGCTGCAATTTAATAGTGATTATTAAATGCTGAATGGACTCGATCTTAAGTTGATACTGTATCATTGTTGTGCCACGAACATGACAGTTCAGAAATCCACTGGTCTCATTTTCATCTCGGTTCTCTTGAGGGAGTAATGATAACCTCTCCAATGAAGCCAGTTCACTCCATCAGCATAGGAGGAGTGATTTCCACGAAGATACAAGCCATTGAGATTTGATTTGTGACACCTCGTGTACCACCAGGCTCCTTTGAACTTAATGGCGCAGTTAATGTTGGTTTCAGAAATGTCGTTATCTTGATCTCTAGTGGTGAATGGCATATCGCGATGCTCAGCAAGAGAGTCACCAGAATTTCCTGACAAAATGAGCCGCAATATGAGTATTACGTTTGACCAACAATGAACCGTTCAAAAGAAATCTTCAAATATCAGATAAGTATAATTTAACAGTAATGATATGGAATAAAAGCATTCTTAGTATTATCTATGATTCATGTCGAAGATTCTGGGATGAATTACTAAATATGATAATGCCAATAAATATGTTTGCCGAGACACTCATCTGAGTTGGATTATTTCGTCAGGTTAACTACGCATGATCTACCAGCGAATACCTTTGGACTAATCAACGTCCGGTGTGCGCTGTCCAGGATTGCATATCGATGAGCTGTGGTTACTTTTTTTTGTCTTCCAAAGCTATTGAATGATATTAAATAGTTTAAACATATTTGCATTACTTAGCACTCTCCTCCCTCCTACCACCCTTTCTTAGAATGACTAGAGTAGAAGAGACGAAATGACAGTTCTACCTGAATAAGAACCAAGAATCAGCTTGTACTTGTCATTCTCACTCATAACACGAAACATATTATACTCAGCATAAGCATTTTTTCCTTCAAAGTCTTCCGAGTCTACACGCAGCACATTGTTAACATCAGAGGTCAGGCGGTGAATCTTGTCCAGTCCGAGCCAAAATTAAATAATTCAGGTCACCAAAGCCACATTTGTAGTCGTTCCAGTAGCGGTAGAAATCAACCGAGCCGTTCAGTCTCCTCTGAAACACAGTCCATCCTCCACCCTCCGTTGTTTGGTCACAGAATACATCAAAGGCATGTAAGTTATCAGGTTTTATGGTGTACATACCACCTCTTCTTTCCCCAGCTTTGTAAATGTCAGCACAATTTTTTTCAGGCCTATGAATAAATGAGAAAATTGAAGGATTCGACGCCGCGCACACCAGGCACTCGTACAAGGAATAAAATTTCAATCATTTCTAAATACTCTACAATGATCGATTTAAGAATGAGTTTAAATCTACTTCTGTCACCAGATTCTAAAAACAGTAAGTAAATTACCCCAATTCCAGTGGTTCATTTAACCCAAGAGGATGAGTGAACGAAAACGCTATTTATGCTACCTTGCAACTGGCAATTTTCTCCACTGAATCTATGACGACAAACACAACGAAAACCTTTACTGGTGAATCCAGCTTGACAGGTGCCATTGTTCAAACATGAACTGCTACTGCAGGGATTCTGTTGGTAAAAACAAAGTAAAGTTCGTGAAACTTTTCCTTACATCAAGAATAAAATCACTTTAGCGCCAAAAAATAAACAACCTCCTCTGATCAACAACAAAATAAAGCTCTTGTTGCTTTCCCCTCAGACAGGAATCAAGAATAAGATCACTTTAACCTAAAATGAAAAGAAATCATGTGTCTGACTCCCCTCAGGTTGGCAAAAATGCGAAATTTTTACCACGATTGCAAGATATATGAAGCCTGGAAGAAATAGAGCATGGTTTTCCTCGGTGGCGTTGTTCAACTCGCATTTTTGGTTTCCTCCTTCTACAGGTCCAACATTAATGGACACGCGATCAGGCTCCATAAAACACATAACTCTGCAGCTTCCCTCATTGGGCACTTCTGCACTCCAGATCACACGATCCTTCATGGCCATGTTTCGTATTGGGTCCCTAAATATAATGTTTCGACAATCGTCGCCTGGGGAAAGCAAAACAAATAGGATTACGTACTCGTCCATGCAGGTTATCGCTTACTCGTAAAAATTTCTTATTGTCAATTAGAAGAGAAACACATTAAAGCACGCTATTTTGCCAACTTACTGCACGAAAACCTTTATCGAAGAGTTTTCTCTGAAGGATATTTTCATCTTTTTATACTATAAAGGATGTATGTTACGGAAAATATCCGAAAAATAATAATTTTCATGGCGTTAATTCACACACTACAATATCTTTGACTCGTTTGTTTCAATTTATAAATGTGCGCATGTTTTGAGGGCTTTTTCAAATACGGTGAAGAACAGCTGTATCCAATAGTCTCCGTATATGTGCCTAAAAAGGAGACATTTTGAGTTAGAAAATAAGTGTTTGCTTAAAGATTGTTTGCATTGTTCGACGGTGGCCTAGTTCTTCTAATGGATTCGAGGGAGCAGCGCCAGAAAAATGACACTTATCAGAAGTGACAGGAGTTTATCAATATGTTTATTTTCAGCCTGTTTAACTTTAAACTTGCGGCAATTACGTTAAGAGCAATCTGAAATACAAACTTTTAACAATTTATCCTTTTTTATCGCAAAACATTCTCCAGTACGATAGAACGGCATTGCACATTATTGACATGAAGATTTACTTTGTAGCAACTTTAAGTACAGAGGCCTAAGTTTTTTCTAAGCTCAGCGGTACAGCATCGGGAAACGGAATCCGAAGGTCTGAGGTTCGATTCCTCCTTCTGATAGTTTCTAAACAAACCCAAACACCAGAGCCTGCTCTCCAGACGGCGGTAACAGGTCTTATTTGAGGAGAGACACCGCCGGTAACCAGCTTTTATTTAAACCTCCGTCCATGGTTAGCTGTAATCATCCCCTCTTCACATAATCATGCTAACATTGTGTTCATTTTATCTCTAATACTCATTTGTCACTACTCCGACTCCGACTCTAAAATCGTTCCTGAACTAATCCGTGCTGATTATTAACCCTTTGACCCTTAAGAATGACTAACATCTAATTTCTCCTCACATTATTGACCCTGAATCAAACATTAAGGTCATTTAAGGTTAATTTAGTTTTATCTTCCAGATTTCGAGAATTTTTGTCAGATTCTTCTTCAACGTCCGTTCGCGTGGGGAAGCGCTGGAATGCTGTTTACTTCAAGAGTAACAGAAGAGGATTTGACAATCATGACAAAACTCGCTCAAGGACACTTCGAGAAAGTGATAATCATTCTTAAACAGCTTCCACGGAGCATGCTGCTTGTGTTCAGGTGTGGATAGTGTTATTTCACTTCGAAATAACTTATTATTGCCGCAGATTTTTTTGCACGTTTTCCTGTCAATGGCACCATTCTTTAGCAAAGCCAAGTTCACTTATTTTTAATTTCTTTTGTTGACTATTTGATGTATTTTTACTGTAGCAAACTGTCATAATTTGTAGATTTCCTTAAATTTAACAACCCGAAAAGCAAATCCTAAAATTGTCGCACAGCTTTATTAGTCGTCGACGTTGGATAGGGAAAAATATCGGAGCCCTTGATTAGGATCCAACCCCCCCTCCTCCCTTACCCCCTCTCCTTCCTTACCCCCCCCTCCTCCCTTACCCCCCTCCTTCCTTACCCCCCTCCTCCCTTACCCCCCCTCCTTCCTTACCCCCCCTCCTCCCTTACCCCCCCTCCTCTCTTACCCCCCTTCCTCGTGCGCGCACCCAAAGATATGGACAAACTCACGTCTAAATTAAAAACCTTACACGAGTTGGACGCCATAGCCGCAGAACGAGCCAAAAGAAAGGTCTCGGTTTCTTGATTTCGTTCCTCATTGCATTCAAATTGTGAAAAATCGAAACTTTTTATGTATCAAAGATTTTAATTGTCTGTAAATAAACAAAGCTGTTAGGATTCCTCTTGTAGCCTGCAAACCAATGAACACTACGCCACTTTCGATATATGAAAATTCTAACATGACTCCTCGGTTAGTGGGAATAAAACAAAAGAAATTTCACCTACTCATCCTTACATTTGGTATTTGTACAAACTCAGTTTGTAACATAATCACCTGATGAGCCATATCTACGAAATGGACCTTGGGCTTGACAATGTGTTTTAATGGTTTAAAGTGTAATATGTTCATCAATAACAGTGCAAGGTATTTACTTTAACAAAAGCTAAGAAAATACAAATAAAACCAATATATGAAGCATTTTAGAATCATCAACATTACGTTACATTGTACACTAAAACTTGAAATATTTGTTTTTCTGATAGCGTTCTTTAGAGTCAAAACATTGGGTAATTGTTTGGAGTTTCGTTATAGAAATCAAAGGGAACTAGAACTGAATTAGCGACTGTTGTTACTCTTCTGATATTGACATTGAAAAAATGAAGGCTTTGTGATGGCTTTGTGTTCCGTCAAGTGAAAATACGAGTCAAAAATTTAAAGAATCAAAACTTGTATAACCCAGACAGAAGGAGCATAGGAGTCGTGATGGCCATGATGACACAAGCCATTGAGATTCGAGAATAACTTTTTTGAATACCTGGGACCCACCCAAAATGTTATGGAGACAGGTTCTATTCAGTCGCTGCCCCCAGGCTGTAGAATGTCTCACTCATAAACCTTGAATTAAGTCCATTGGTTTCTGTTTTTCGAGAAAAGACGAAAGCGCATTTTTTCAGAGCTTCTTATGATTAACTGTCAATTTCCAACTAGGATAAGAAGCTTTTTGTATATATGTATCGCTATATGGATTAAGTCATTATTACTATTATGATGATTATTATTATTATTAGTTAACTGGCCAATTCTACAGAATCAACTGTTCCTATTTTGAAAAACACGCACAAAGAAGCAAGAAAAACCCCGAACAACGTTCCGCTAAGCTCCAATTTAAGAGTGATTGTTTAATGCTGAATATACCTGATCGAGACACTCGGTTTTTTTGTTAAGTTGCTGCTGTTTGTTGTACCACAAACATGACAGTTCAGAAATCCTTTGGTCTTATTTTCATCTCGGTTCTCTTGAGGGAGTAATGATGTCCTTTCCAGTCTTTCCAGTTCACTCCGTCAGCATGGGAGGAGTGATTGCCACGAAGATACAAGCCATTGAGATTTGAGCTGTGACACTTATTGTACCACCAGGCTCCTTTGAACTTAATGGCGCAGTTGTGATCCATCCGAATGTCATTATCTTGATCTCTAGTGGTGAATTGCATATCGCGATGCTTGGTAAGAGAGTCACCAGAATTTCCTGACAAAATGAGCCGCACTATGAGTATTACGTTTGACCAACAATGAGCTGTTCGTAATTTAAAAGAAATCTTAAAATATAAGATAAGTATAATTTAACAATGATAATATGGATTAAAAGCATTCTTAGTAATATCTATGATTCTTGTCGATGATTGTAGGGATTAAAATACTCAATATAATAATTACAATAAATATGTTCGCCGAGACACTCCTCAGATTTGGATTAGTTGGTCAGGTTAACTGCGAAAGATCCACCGACGAATAGATTTGGACTTATCAACGTCCGGTATGCGTCGTCCAGGATTGCACGGCGATGAGCTGAGGTTACTTCTTTGTCTTCCAAAGCTATTGATGTAAAAGATTTTAAGCATACTTACATTACTTAGCTCTCTCCTCCTCCTCCCCTGCCCCCCAACTTCTTAGAATGACTAGAATAGAGGAGACAAAACGACAGTTCTACCTGAATAAGAACCAAGGATCAGCTTGTACTTGTCTTTCTCACTCATAACACCAAACAAGTTATACTCAGCATAAGCTGTGTTTCCTTCAAAGTCCTCAAAATCCACACGCAGCGTGTTATTATCATCTGAGGTCAAGCGGTGAATCTTGTCCAGTCCGAGCCAAAACTCACCACACAGGTCACCAAAGCCACGTTTGTAGTCGTTCCAGTAGCGGTAGAAATCAACCGAGCCGTCCATTCTCTTCTGGAACACAGTCCATCCTCCACCCTCCGTTGTTTGGTCACAGAATACATCAAAGGCAGGCAAATTATCAGGTTTAATGGCGTAGACACCGTCAGCTGGTTTACCCGCGGATTTGTAGATTTCTGCGCAGTTTCTTTTGACTGAAAATCAGTTAAAAAAAAAAAAAACAAAAAACAAAACAACACTCCTACTTTAAATTGTTTGGATATTGAGTGCTTTTTGTTTGCTTTCCTGACTATTGCTCTGGCTGATAAAACTTGATTCTGAACATTAACAAATACCAATTCTTCTTCCTTAATATCTACCAGCTATATTCACTGAAAGTGACCGTACGTGGCTTTTCCTTTTTAGCTTTCATTCAGTGGTTAATATTTTGTTCTTGAAGTCAATTTTGAAACTTTAGTGAGTAACTCCTCGCGTACTACGCGAGAGACTGGTCTACATAATCCAGCCATTTTACCTTCAACTTGGCAGGTTTCTCCAGTGAATTTTTCCTGACAGACACAACGAAATCCTTTATTGGTGAATCCAGCTTGACAGGTGCCATTGTTTAAGCATGGGCTGCTGCTGCATAGATTCTGTTGACAAAACAAAGTAAGCTATAGTGCAGATCTTCCTTATGTTATGTCTTTAGCCTAAGAAAACGAAACAATCTCTTCTGGCACCGTAGTTTCGTAGGAATGTGAAATGTTACCTCGATTGCAAGATATGTGTAACCCGGATTCTTCACGAGAAGAAATGGAGCATGGTTTTCGACCGTGGCGTTATTCAACTCGCATTTTTGGTTTCCTCCTGCAACAGGTCCAATATTGATGGACACACAATTAGGCTCCATATAACACATTACTCTGCAACTTCCTTCGTTGGACACGTCTACACTTTTGATCGCGTGATTTTTCATGGTCATGTTTGGTATTGGATGCTTGAAAATGATGTTTCGACAATCATCGTCTGCGGTAGGCAAAACAAATATATCGTTTAGTTTCCACTCACTCGAGGTACTTTTTCATTTTCACCCATGAAAAAGGCACATTAGACCACTTTCTTTCAAAACTTTACTGCACGAGAACCCTGACGAATTTTCTCTAAAGGTGATCGTCATCTCTTGAAATTAAACTTAACAAAAATCAATCTTTGATTGTGAATTATCGCGCGGAAAGAAAATATTAAGGAAAATATCAAGAATATTTTCACAGCGTTCATTACCACACCACGATATCTGTGAATCGTTTGCTTAAATTCATCATTTTGAACCATTGATGCGCATGTGATGGGGTTTTTTTGAAATTTGGCTTTTTTTGTATCGTCTATTCCATAATAGTAGACATAATAGTTAGATAAAGATTGCCTGCTTAAAGATTATTACTTTGATCAGCAGGTAGCATATGTAGTTCGTGTAACGGTTTTGAGGAAACGACACCAGAAAGATAAAACGCAAGAAATTCAAAAAGGGATTTATACTCACCTGTGCAACAAAAACATGGTAGGAGAATAATTCCATGGAAGATATAGAGAATATTAATGATTGGTTGAATAGAAAACTTGAACTGCATCGCTATAAATAAATAATTGTAAATTCAAGGTAAAAATATGATAGTGAGCGTCCCAAAATATAAATCGTTCTGTTTTCCTGTAAATTTGAATGTAGACAAATGTAAGACAGGTGTTCGGCATTTATTTGCCAGCTTTGTCTACTTAAAGGGACTCTTAACTTGCACAACATCTCGAAGACAAATACTTCGTTCAATCATGTAATTGTTCTAAAACACGTTTTTATGCTAACAGGCTTGTTTCATCCCTTGCACAAAAAAAAAACTTAGTTTGAATTTCTTCATGTTAAATATTCATTTTCGAAGATGTGTTAACGGCTGCAAAAGGCGCAAAAAAAGGGAAAATTATAGACCGCCGTAACGCCATTTATCTGTATTGGAGTATTTTAAAATTCTCACTCTACGTTGTAAATTTTATCTTATTCTGATAAGCCATAATATTTTCAAAAGCGTCGGAGAAAAACGTAATAGAGCACATCACACTTACGGAGGTGACAGGAGTTTATCAATATGTTTATTTTCAGCCTGTTTAACTTTGAACTTGCGACAATCAAGTTAAGAGCGAGAAACAAATTTTTGCAGATTTGCTACCGACAAAGATGTCAGATCACTTCTGAAAATACAAACATTTAACAATTTATCCTTTTTCATCTCAAAGCATTCTCCAATACGATAGAACAGCACTGCACATTATTAAAATGAAAATTAACTTTGTAGCAACGGCACAGAGGCCTAAGTTTTTTATGGCTCGTTTTGCTAATGGTAGTTGAGCATGGTAGTTAGCATTAAACATCACCCGATTTTATCTTAGTTAGACTGGTCGCAAACATTCTGACTTTCGGATGGTATTTGAGAGCTTCAACCTATAAAAAAAAAAAATTTGTAACAACTTTGACAGGATGTGAAATATCGTGTGGCTGAATTGACAGAATTTTACACAAAAGTTTTCTCGATCATTTCTGCTATCAGCGCAATTGGTCTGAACAAGAAAGGCTTGGTCCAAGATATATAGATAAGTAGCTCACAGAGATATTTCTTACCTTCTGAGCGAAAAAGTGTTTTTCGCACTTGGTTTTGTTCCTGAGATTATCAATAGTGAAAACACTTCGCACCAGTACCACTGGATAAGACAGTCAACGAAATACTTCAATGAAAAACAGAGAATGTTTTGAAAAACTTATATGGCAAGCCTAACTCTTAAACAAAGCTGCAAATTATTTGGTCAAAACACTTTCAGCGGGACATGTAAGAAGTTTTAGAACTACACAATGTTTTCCTATTTTGCCTGGAGGTAACTGAGGTGTTATGACTTTCAAAAAAAATTTATGAAAATATAAATTTTTAGAACTACACAATATGTCGCATTTTCCTCCGGTGTTAACTGCGGTGTTATATATATGGTTATGCTTTTTCCAAGTTAGAAAGTATCTTGCAAAAAATGCTCTCGAAAAATTAAAACTACCCGATAAGCTAGACAGAAGCAACAGTTCTGTACAATAATTTGTTTCCCTGAAGATTTTGAGCGGCTTTCCGCAGTGTTGTAAGAGGTAGTTTTGTTTACACTGAATGTTGAGGCCGGAAATCTTGATTTTTCTAGGAAAGAAGTTTCTAGGCTGCGCCTACACCGTGGATAAATCGATGCACCTATAATGTGCCCGAGTCAGAATTCTCCGAAAGACAGACTGCGAAAGCTAAGACATTTGAGTTTAATAAGCTGATCTCATGAAATTGCCGTGAATTGTTACAATTTCAAAATTAGGGCGTACGCGAGCAAATTCTAACTAAAACGTATGGACGCGTAAGTCGAAATGACCAAAATAAAACGATCGAAACGAAACGAACCTAACGACCAAAAAGGTCTAAAAAAAATAACAGTCAGTAATAATAAAATGAATTCCCTCGGGCGTCAGATGTCAGTCGTCATATTCTTCTTGTTTAGATTATGGTCTACTCCTGATCTACTTGACGGGAAAATTCAGTTATCTCTTGATTGCCATCGGCTTGTTATTAGGCGGCGAGGGAACCTTAATAGTGACTTTTCCACCTAATTAAGAGAAATATCTCAACACATAGCAAATGATATTCACCCCTGAACTCATGTTTTATTGTTATTCTATTGTGTTCTCGCCTACTCTTACTGGTTACATTTGGTATTTTTTCAAACTCATTATGAAGCATTATGTACAGATGAGCCTCGACACAAACAATGACATTGAGCATGACAATATACATTTTTTTAATTATAGTGGGATATATCCATCAAGAGTTAGTTTAAAAAGTAGGTATCTAGACTTGTGTTCGTTTTAAATGTCGTTTTATCTCCCAGGTTTCGAGAATTTTTGTCAGATTCTTCTTCAACGTACGTTCCCTTGGAGAAGCGCTGGAATGCTGTTTACTTTAAGAGTGACTGAGGAGGATTTGACAATCACGACAAAGCTCGCTGAAGGACACTTCGAGAAAGTAATAATTCTAAAACAGCTTCCACGGAGCATGCTGCTTGTGTTCAGGTGTGGATAGTGTTATTTCACTTCGAAATAATTTATTCTTGCCGCAGATTTTTTTCTTTGCACGTTTTCCTGTTAATGGCACCATTTTTTAGCAGGGCACTTCCTCTAATTTCCTTTGTTGACTTTTTGATGTATTTTTACTGTAGCAAACTGTCATAATTTGTAGATTTCCTTAAATTTAACAGACCGAAATGCAAATACTGAAATTTCTGTACAGCTTTATTAATCGTGGACGTTGGACAGATAAAAATATCGGAGCCCTTGATAAGGATCAAACCCCACCCACCTCCGCTTCGAGAACCGATGGGATGTTTTAGAGATTCAAGCTTTTTCCTGTAGAACCACATTCTATATCCTTCCCTTTCCCCTGCCCCCTTCCCCCTCCCCTCTCCCCTAGGCTACTGTTTTGTTTTTACCTTTTTCACTTTTTGATTGGTTTTTATGGAAATACTTCGAATGCGAGAAAAGAGATTTCCAGTTAATCTACCAGTATTACTATGGGTCAAATTTTGGAAAATTTCAAAGATTTTCATTCGCGACCTATCGGACACCAATTTTGGACCTTTTTTTGCAGCGCCATTGCGGGAATTCACGGCCATATAAAGCATAGTATATAGTCTATGGTCTTTGAGTCATACGTCCTCAGACAACTCAGAATTTTTCTTAGTCCCACGCTCGTGACACGACGAAAAACACCTTTCTCTATTTCTTTACCGAGTTCAAAACTTGCCATCTCTTTGATTCCATTTACAAACATGACGCTATTGAATTGCTGATCCTAGCAGTACGCTGGACGCGTGTCATATGAACTTCGTAATAGACCTCGCTCAACGTGTGGCTCATCATTGGTAGAGCATCGGAGTGTGGAATACGAAGGTCTGAGGTTCGACTCCTCGTGGGAACTCAGAGTTTTTTCTTTGTCCGATGCTCGTGACTATACGTAAAACATCTTTCTCTATTTCATTACCGAGCTCTAAACTTACCATCTCTCTTATTTATTTACATACATGACGCTATCGCCATTGCTGATCCTAACAGTATGCAGGACGCGTGTCATATAAATTCGTTATAGACTTCGCTCACTGTTGAGTCTCTGTGGCTCAGTGGTAGAGCATCGGAAAACGGAATCCGACGGTCTGAGGTTCGATTCCTCTCCCTGAAAGTTTCTAAACAAACCCAAACACAAGAGCCTGCTCTCAGGCTAAACAGATGGCGGTAAGAGGTCTTATATGAGGAGAGACACCGCCGGTAACCAACTTTCATTGAAACCTCTGTCCATGGTTAGCTGTAATCATCCTCTCTTCACATAATCATGCTAACATTGTGCTTATTTTATCTCTAATACTCATTTGTCACTACTCCGACTCCGACTCTAACTTTCTTGATGGTGATGTTTAGGACGACATCGAAACGTCTAACCGCGCTTAGGGTTGAAATGTTTTTTATTAAAGCCTATTCAGTTAATTGATTAATTTATCTTTTCCTTTATTTATTCATCTTTTTATTTATCTATTTGTTCATTCAGTTATCTGATGTAGAGAATTCGGTTTTAAATCGAAAATCGTTCCTAAACTAATCCGTGCTGATTATTAACCCTTTGACCCTTAAGAATGACTAACATCTAATTTCTCCTCACATTATTGACCCTGAATCAAACATTAAGGTCATGAGAAGAAAGGAAATGATCACCAACTGAAGAAGCTCTTGATTGTTAAACAAATTCTCCCTGTCATCATCTTAGGAAATGTATAGAGAGCAGTATGGAGAATATGCATCCTGATGTTAGGGTGTAAAGGGTGAAACGAAGGTGAATCGTTTGAGCCTGTCACTAACAAATTTCTTGTTTTCACTAGAGCCATGAGTTTTAGAGCGTGGATGGTGGAAAGCTACCTGCAGATTCTTCAGTACCTGGGGCGCGCACCTAAAGATATGGACAAACTCACGTCTAAATTAAAAACCTTACATGAGTTGGACGCCATAGCCGCAGAACGAGCCAAAAGAACGGTCTCGGTTTCTTGATTTCGTTCCCCATCGCATTCAAATTGTGAAAAATCGAAAACTTTTTATGTATCAAAGATTTTAATCATTTATAAAAAAAACAAAGCTGTGAGGATCCCTCTTTTAGCCTGCAAACCAATGATCACAAGTGATCCAATACGCCACTTTTGATATATCAAGATTCTAACATGGCTCCGAGGAGGGAATAAACAAAAGAAATTTCACCTACTCATCCTTACATTTGGTATTTCTACAAACTCAGTTTGTAACATAATCACCTGATGAGCCATATCTACAAAATGGACCTTGGGCGTGCAATATGTTCTTATGATTTAAAGTGCAATATGTTTATCAATAAAAGTGCAAGGTATTTACTTTAACAAAAGCTAAGAAAATACAAATAAAAGCAATATATGAAGCATTTTAGAATCATCAACATTACGTTACATTGTACACTAAAACTTGAAATATTTGTTTTTCTGATAGCGTTCTTTAGAGTCAAAACATTGGGTAATTGTTTGGAGTTTCGTTATAGAAATCAAAGGGAACTAGAACTGAATTAGCGACTGGGTTACTCTTCTGCTATTGACTTTGAAAAAATTAAGGCTGTGTGATTGCTTTGTGCTCCGTCAAGTGAAAATACGAGTCAAAAATTTAAAGAATCAAAACTTGTATAACCGAGATAGGAAGAGTATAGGCTGGCCATGGTGACACAAGCCCATGAGATTCGAGGATAACTCTTGTGAATTCCTCAAACCCACCTAAAACTTTTATGGAGACTGGGTCTTTTCAGCCGCTACGCCCAGGCTATATAATGTCTCACCCATAAACCTTGAATTGAGTTCATTAGTTTCTGTTTTTCGAGAAAAGATTAAAGACGCATTTTTTCAGAGCTACTTATGGTTAACTGTCAATTTCCAACTATGATAAGGAGCTTTCTGTATGTACCGCTAAATAGATTAAGTCATGATTACTATTATTATTATTATTGGTGAAGTGGCCGATTGTACAGAATCAATTATTCCTATTTTGAAAAACGCACAAAGAAGGAAGAAAAATCCTGAACAACGTTTCGCTAAGCTCTGATTTAAGAGTGATTGTTTAATGCTGAATATACTTGATCGAGACACTTGTTTTTAGTTAAGTTGGTACTGTTTGATTGTTGTGCCATAAACGTGACAGTTCAGAAATCCACTGGTCTTATTTTCATCTCGGTTCTCTTGAGAGAGTATTTATGACCCTTCCAGCCTTTCCAGTTCACTCCGTCAGCATGGGACGAGTGACTGCCATGAAGATACAAGCCATTGAGATTTGAGTGGTGACACCGACGGTACCACCAGGCTCCTTTGAACGCAATTGCGCAGTTGGATCTAACATTGTCATTATCTTGATCTCTAGTGGTGAATGGCATATCGCGATGCTCGGTAAGAGAGTCACCAGAAAACAAAATGCCAATGAGTATTACGTTTGACCGAACAATGAGCCGTTCGTAATTCAAAAGAAATCTTAAAATATAAGATTATAATTTAACAATGATAATATGGAATAGCATTCTTTGGAATATCTATGATTCTTGTCGATGATTGTAGGGATTAAAATACTCAATATAATAATCAATAAATATGTTTGTGGTTCAGATTTGGATTTTGTCTTCCAAAGATCCACCGACGAATAGATTTGGACTAATCAACGTCCGGTATGCGCTGTCCAGGATTGCATGGCGATGAGCTGAGGTTACTTCTTTGTCTTCCAAAGCTATTGATGTAAAAGAGTTTAAGCATACTTACATTACTTAGCTCTCTCCTCCTCCTCCCCTGACCCCCAACTTCTTAGAATGACTAGAATAGAAGAGACGAAATGACAGTTCTACCTGAATAAGAACCAAGGATCAGCTTGTACTTGTCTTTCTCACTCATAACTCCAAACAAGTTATACTTGGCATAAGCTGTGTTCCCTTCAAAGTCTTCCAAATCCACACGCAGCGTGTTGTTATTATATGAGGTCAGGCGGTGAATCTTATCCAGTCCGAGCCAAAACTCATCACGTGGGTCACCAAAGCCATGTTTGTAGTCGTGCCAGTAGCGGTAGAAATCAACCGAGCCGTTCAGTCTCTTCTGAAACACAGTCCATCCTCCACCCTTCGTTGTTTGGTCACAGAATACATCAAAGGCATGTAAGTTATCAGGTTTTATAGTGTACATACCATCTTTTCTTTCCCCAGCTTTGTAAATTGCAGCACAATTTTTTTTCAGGCCTATGAATAAATGAGAAAATTGTAGAATTCGACGCCGCGCACACCAGACACTCGTCCAAGGAATAAAATTTCAATCATTTCTAAATACATACTCCACAATGATCGATTTAAGAATGAGTTTAAATCTACTTCTGACACCAGATTCTAAAAACAGTTAGTAAATTACCCTAATTCCAGTGGTTCATTTAACCCAAGAGGATTTGTGAACGAAAACGCTTTTTTTATGCTACCTTGCAACTGGCAATTTTCTCCACTAAATCCATGACGACAAACATTTTGAAACCTTTACTGGTGAATCCAGCTTGACAGAGCCATTGTTCAAACATGAACTGCTACCAGCCATTTGTTGGTAAAACAAAGTAAAGGTTTCTCCAGTGAATTTTTCCTGACATCAAGAATAAAATCACTTTATTGGTGAAAAAATTAAACAAGGTGCCATTGTCAATAACAAAATAAAGCTCTTGTGCATTTCCCTTGACAAAGAAAGTGAGCTATAAGATCACTTTAACCTTAAATGAAAAGTTATGTGTCTGACTCCTCGAGGTTGGTAAAATGTCGAAATTTTTACCTCGATTGCAAGATATATGAAGCCCGGATTTTTCACAAGAAGAAATGTAGCATGGTTTTCCTTGGTGGCGTTGTTCAACTCGCATTTTTGGTTTCCTCCTTCTACAGGTCCAACATTAATGGATACGCAATCAGGCTCCATATAACACATCACTTTGCAGCTTCCCACATTGGGCACTTCTGCACTCCTGATCACATGAT